GGGGGGTTTTTTTTGCAGACTCACCTCCGCTGGTGTGGACGATGTACAGCGCAAACTCCTCCGCCGAGTTTTCAATCTGAACGGAGACATAAATGAATATTAAAGGTCCACGTTTCTGCCCTCGACTTTCCCAGCAGTTAAAAAAAAATCCCATTATTTCGCTCCGCTGTTGCATTTTATATCCGTGGGATATAAATTCCCCACGCAGAGCAACCCAGGAGCGCGGGGAGGGGGGGAAATATCTAACGTACCTTGAATTTATTGAGCAGCAGTTTGAGGACCTGGGGGGTCGTCATCGTGCTGTTTATCCGGACGTTGGTGACGGAGCCGTACGCCGGCGTGAACACGGACGTCTACGGGGTGCAAAGTCCATTTAAACCCTCCCCTGGATTTCCCCACCGGTCTCCCATCGGGAGAGGTTTTGGGGAGCCGGCGAGGTTCGGGGCTCACCTTATGGTTGTAGAAGTGCCCGTTGATGGAGAAGCGGTGACGGCGGATGCGCCGCTGCTCGCTGGGGGTGCGGGCGCTGCCCCGGCGCCGTACGCCCACGTCGCTCCGCGTCCGCATCAGCTGCGGCGTCTCCTCTGGCTGCGATTTGGCAGCTGGAAAAGACCCGGCGGGAGGACGGGGCTGAGGACCAGAGGCAAGCGGGAACCCCCCGAGAAGTGCCCGTTGATGGAGAAGCGGTGACGGCGGATGCGCCGCTGCTCGCTGGGGGTGCGGGCGCTGCCCCGGCGCCGTACGCCCACGTCGCTCCGCGTCCGCATCAGCTGCGGCGTCTCCTCTGGCTGCGATTTGGCAGCTGGAAAAGACCCGGCGGGAGGACGGGGCTGAGGACCAGAGGCAAGCGGGAACCCCCCGGGGTCCTATCCCAGCATCTCCCTGCTGCGGAATAGCTCCTGGGAGTCCCCCCATGGATGCAAAAGTCCCCATCCCAGAAATACAGCCCTACAAACTTCCCAGGACAGATTCAACCCACCGGTTTAAACCACGGCAGCTACTGGTTTATTCTCTCCCAGCTCCTGAAGGAGGCTGTTAATTCAGAATTAACTGCGTAAATCCAGGCTGCTACCTGGATAAAGCCTCTTCTCCCGGGGACTCGAGCATCTTTACTCGCTTTTTCATAATTTAACTTTTTTTTTTTTCCCCTCCTTTCCTTTAATGAGAACAGGCAAATGAGGCCAGCGCTTCAGATCTCTGCGTGAAAACTGGCCTGGGTCCAGATTATTATAAACCAGCTCTTCATCCATTTTTAATGAACCTCTCGGGCTCGAGCTTGGATGTTTTAATTCAAAGCATGTCTGCAGCAAGAAAAAATCTCTGGTGCGCACCGCTCCAGCTGCACGCCATGGGCCGTGGTGACTAAGCACTCGTGAGGAGCCGTGCACGCACGTTACGCACTGATTTTTACAGGCTTTTGGAGAAAAATATAATAAAAGACTTCTTTCTTATGCGCTGGCAGAGGATTAACATCATATGGCTGGCTGAAATAGCTGCTGGGTTATTTCTATGGTGCGATGCGTTGCGGATATCGCCTTAATTAAGGGGGGGGGGGGGGAAGGGCATTGTGGGGGGGGACCAAAAGAAAAAA